AAAAGTTGTAAGTCCTACACCTGACCACTGGGGGTGCCGTAAAGTAAAGGAATGAGCTTTTTTGGGGCAAAATGTTTGTCCGATGAGGCTAAAAATGAATTCAGAAATACAGCGTATGACCCTGAACACAACGATATACAACGCACAACTGTGAGTGCAACAGCGCCACCTACAGGCAGTTCAAGGTGTCGCATTTTTGGCTTCGTACGGGCCCCCACTCCCTGGATTTTCATCGCACAGAGTTTCACGGGCCCTGTCCACAAACATCTAAACTGTTTCACTTTCACTCCAGTGAGTCTTCAGAAAGTAACACACTGGGAAAGACATTGAGAAACAAGAAAATGTGTCTTAGTTTTGACACATTGTGACTGAGAATTAAAACTAGATTTTCTAATGAGACAAAACAAAATGATGTTGTTTTAAAAAATCTACTAGAAATGTCTCCATTGGAATGATTCAGATTCAGTTTATTTGCCATTTGCAGTAAAAGAAACCACATTGGAATACATTAGCAAAAGTCTCCAGTGTGCACAGACAAATACAGACATAAAACAACATTAAAAGACAAAAATAAAACAAATAAAACAGTAAACAAAAGTCACTGTGAAATCGATCGACTAAAACGGTTTCAAAACAAGTGCAAATCATTAAAGTGCTCTGTTCACACTGATAACAGCCTGTGGATAAAAACTGTTAGCATAACGAGATGTCCTGCATCTCAGAGAGCGATATCTTCTGCCAGAGGGAAGAAGCTGGAACATGGCTTTCCCAGGGTGGCCAGAAGAGTCATTAACAATCCTAAGAGCTTTGTTTAAAAGTCTGGATTTATAAAGAACAGGAAGCTCACAGCCCACGGTCTCTCTCTGGTCTCTCTCTGGTCTCTCTCTGGTCTCTCTCTTTGGTCTCTCTCTGGTCTCTCTCTGGTCTCTCTCTAGTCTCTCTCTGGTCTCTCTCTGGTCTCTCTCTGGTCTCTCGCTGGTCTCCCTCTGGTCTCTCTCTGGTCTCTCTCTGGTCTCTCTCTGGTCTCTCTCTCTGGTCTCTTTCTGGTCTCTCTGGTCTCTCTCTGGTCTCCCTATGGTCTCTCTCTGGTCTCCCTATGGTCTCTCTCTGGTCTCTCTCTCTGGTCTCTCTCTGGTCTCTCTCTGGTCTCTCTCTGGTCTCTCTCTGGTCTCTCTCTCTGGTCTCTCTCTGGTCTCTCTCTCTGGTCTCTCTCTGGTCTCTCTCTGGTCTCTCTCTCTGGTCTCTCTCTGGTCTCTCTCTCTGGTCTCCCTCTGGTCTCTCTCTGGTCTCCTCTGGTCTCTCTCTGGTCTCCCTCTGGTCTCTCTCTGGTCTCTCTCTCTGGTCTCTCTCTGGTCTCTCTCTGGTCTCTCTCTGGTCTCTCTCTCTGGTCTCTCTCTGGTCTCTCTCTGGTCTCTCTCTGGTCTTACAGCCCACGGTCCTCTTTGCAGAGCGGAGCACCTTGTTTAAAGCTCTCTTTTCTTTATCTGTGATGTTTCCAAACCACACAGACACAGAACCAACAAGTAAACTCTCAATGGTGCAGCGATAAAAGTTAAGCAGAATCTTAGAGTTAGTGGTAAATTCTCTAAGTTTACGCAGAAAGTAGAGACGCTGACGAGCTTTCTTAACGACTCGGTCAGTGTTTTTAACCCATTTCAGGTCGTTAGACAGAGTTAAACCCAGAAACTTGCACTCCTCTACGATCTGCACCTGGGAGTTGTCGATTAAGACAGGCAAATGAGAACTATTGCGACTGAAGTCGTAGACCAGTTCACATGTTTTCGATGCGTTCAACTGGAGGTTGTTAGTTTGACTCCACTGAACCACATTTTGTATCTCTGCTCTATAAGAGGATTCATCAGTGTCACTGATGAGACCGATGATGGTGGTGTCATCAGCATATTTAATGATCAAGTTTGAGTCAGAGGAGGACACACAATCGTGAGTGTACAAAGTAAAAAGCAAAGGACTCAAAATACATCCCTGAGGAGAACCAGTGCTCACAGAAACAACATCAGAAAAACAGTCATTGATTTTCACTCTCTGAGATCTGTCAGTTAAAAAGCTAAAAATCCATTTACACATGGCAACACTTAAACCGAGAGACATGAGCTTTTCAATCAGTTTACCTGGGACAAGGCAGTTAAAAGCAGAGCTATAATCGATGAAAAGCATTCTGGCCACAGATTTACTATTGTCCAAGTGACTGTAGACAGAGTTCAGAGCAAAGGAGATGGCATCCTCCACACTCCTGTTCTGTCTGTAGCAAACTGGAGCGGGTCAACACTCCTGTTCTGTCTGTAGCAAACTGGAGCGGGTCAACACTCCTGTTCTGTCTGTAGCAAACTGGAGCGGGTCAACACTCACAGGGATCTGGCTCTTAATGAAGTCCAGCACAAGCCGCTCAAAAGTCTTCATAAGGACAGACGTGAGGGCCACAGGACGATAGTCATTCAGGCGTGTCACAGGAGTTTTCTTAGGAACTGGAATGATGGTCGACTCTTTAAAGCAGTTCGGCACAGTACAGTTCCTTAGCGACAGGTTGAAAATGTCTGTTAGCACAGGGGCAAGTTGCTCAGAGCACAGTTTCAGGACACGAGGAGGGATGCCGTCCGGGCCTGGGGCTTTCCGGACTGTGGTCCTGGACAAGACACGCCTGACTTCCTCCTGAGTCACGGTGAAGGTACCTTGATTGAAACACTCAGGGAATACAGTAGGACAGGCATCAGCGGATTCAAAGCGACAGTAGAACGTGTTCAGCTCGTTTGGCAGAGCTTGGCCGACAGATGCAATTTTCCCAGCGCTAGGTTTCCACGATGTGATGGCTTTAATACCGTTCCACATGCGCCGAGGGTCATCTTCCTCAAAATAACTCTTTAACCTGTCCCCGTAACTGCGCTTTGCAGATTTAATAGAACGTTTCAATGAGTAACAGGATAGCTTATAAGCAACTGTATCATTTGATTAAAACGCCAGAACACGTTCATGAAGTTTCAGTTTCACTTCCGCGTTCATCCAAGGGTTTTGACTAAAATGTTCTTTAATGACCTTCTGTGGGACACAGCCGTCAATACAGAAGCGTATGTATCCAGACACAGCGTCACAGAATTCATTGACGTCCTCTGACTGAAACACAGACCAGTCAGTGGCATCAAAACAACCTTGTAGCTTCATGCTAGCCTCCTCAGACCAACACTGCACAGTGCGAGAGGTTGGTTTATGTTCCCTGCTCCTCTGAGTATACGAAGGAAGAAGGAGAACAGAGGAGTGGTCAGACTTTCCAAAAGGAGGTCTGAGACTGGACCTGTAAGCTCCCTTCACGTTACTGTAGCAGTGATCCAGAACATGTGCTCCTCTTGTAGCTTGAGTCACATGTTGGTAAAAGTTCGGGAGTACAGTCTTTAAATTACATTTATTGAAATCCCCAGCAACAATGATGACTGCGTTAGGATGAGCGGACTCATGTTTGTGAAGGATCTCGCTCAGATCCTGTAGGGCTACTTTGTAATCCGCACGTGGGTGAATGTAAACAGCGCATAAAAATATCACTGAAAACTCACGGGGAAGATAAAAAGGGCGGCAGCTCAAGACCAGGCATTCCAGATTGGCAGTACATGTTTGGTTCACGATACGAGTGTCCGTGCACCAGCGCTGATTAATTAAAAAGCACACACCTCCGCCTCTGGCCTTGCCCGTGGTCTCCTTCACTCTGTCCGCACGGTGAGCGGTGAATCCCGGGGGCTGAACAGCAGAGTCCGGGACGTTCGAGTGGAGCCACGTCTCGCTGAGACAGAACACAGCGCAGTCCCGGGCCTCGCGCTGGCTCTGGACCCGACACAGGAGCTCGTCCGTCTTGTTGGGCAGAGACTGGACGTTGGCCGGGTAGATGGAGGGCAAAGGGGTTCTGGAGGAGCGGCTACGAACGAGCAGACCGCCTTGCCTTCCCCGGTGTCTGCGCCTCCTTCGCCGACTCGAGGTGCCCATCTCCACACCGCGGAGAGAACGCCGGAGACGCCCAGTCCCCTCGCTCTGTTGGCGGCCACCGCCGCGGCCCGCCTGCCGTGCTCCATGGGCCTCTCGAGTGGGACACTCGAGGAAGTTTGTGCACCTCAGTTTTTTAATGAAGACTAAATGCTTTTCGTGTTTTAAGTCAAAATCCTCGAAGCGCGGCCCCCGTGTATTTTCAGTGTAAACCCGACGCTTTGGTCTGAACGCACCTTTATTCACGTCAGATTTTATCATTGTAACATTTGCAGTATTGTCGATAAATGTCAAATATGTGACTCACAGGGATTTTCGTTCAGTGTTTTGTGTTTGTGCAGAGACGTAAACCACAGCAGCAGTCGACTCAGAGAACTTTACAAAGTTATGGATTCACCAACAGCAGATCAGAAAACCACACAGGTCCAAGGCAACAATAACAAACACATTGGTCCTAAGAGAACGGGACCAACACTGTCCAGGAAGGTTGGGGAGGAGAGGGGGAGGAGAGGGGGAGGAGAGGAGAGAGAAGAGAACGGGACCAACACTGTCCAGGAAGGTTGGTTACTGCCTCATTTATGACACATGGGGAGAGAGGGGAGAGGGGAGAGAGGAGGGAGGAGAGAGAGGAGAGGGAGGGAAGAGAGGAGGGAGGGGAGAGAGGAGAGAGAGGGAAGAGAGGAGAGAAAGGGGAGAGGTGAGAGAAAAGAGAGGGGAGTAAGAGGGGGGAGAGAGAGAGGAGAGAGAGGTTGGGATACTTTTTCCTGCAGAGTCCCACAGAGTTGGGGAGGAGGAGGAGAAGGGGGAGGAGAAGGGGAGAGTTTTTGCTGGATCACTGCCTGGTTTGGATTCATACGACACCAAAACTGTCTCCCCCGTCGCTGTACCCCCCACTCTCTCTCTCTCCCCCGCTGTCTCTCTCCCCCCCATCCCCCCTTTTCCCCCACTTTAAAAATAACCACAGATTCCGTGGAAGGGGGGACAGGGTTCTGGGAAGTGAAGGAAAACCACAGAGAGACTTATCTTACGGCCAGTCTGGGCCAAACTTCTGTACCGATGATAGAGAGGAGAGGGGGAGGAGAGGGGGAGAAGAGGAGTGAGAGGAGAGGGGGAGGAGAGGGGGAGGAGAGGAGAGAGAGGAGAGGAGGGAGGAGAGAGAGGAGAGGAGTGAGAGGAGAGGGGAGGAGAGGAGAGAGAGGAGTGAGAGGAGAGGGGGAGGAGAGGAGAGAGAGGAGGGAGGAGAGGAGTGAGAGGAGAGGGGGAGGAGAGGAGTGAGAGGAGTGAGAGGAGTGAGAGGAGAGGGGGAGGAGAGGAGTGAGAGGAGAGGAGGAGGAGAGGAGAGAGAGGAGAGGAGGGAGGAGAGAGGAGGAGGAGAGAGGAGAGGAGTGAGAGGAGAGGGGGAGGAGAGGAGTGAGAGGAGAGGAGTGAGAGAAGAGGGGGAGGAGAGGAGAGAGAGGAGAGGAGGGAGGAGAGAGAGGAGAGAGAGGAGAGGAGTGAGAGGAGAGGGGGAGGAGAGGAGAGAGAGGAGAGGAGGGAGGAGAGAGAGGAGAGAGAGGAGAGGAGTGAGAGGAGAGGGGGAGGAGAGGAGAGAGAGGAGAGGAGGGAGGAGAGAGAGGAGGAGAGAGGAGAGGAGTGAGAGGAGAGGGGGAGGAGAGGAGTGAGAGGAGAGGAGTGAGAGAAGAGGGGGGAGGAGAGGAGAGAGAGGAGAGGAGGGAGGAGAGAGAGGAGAGAGAGGAGAGGAGTGAGAGGAGAGGGGGAGGAGAGGAGAGAGAGGAGAGGAGGGAGGAGAGGAGTGAGAGGAGAGGGGGAGGAGAGGAGTGAGAGGAGAGGGGGAGGAGAGGAGTGAGAGGAGAGGGGGAGGAGAGGAGAGAGAGGAGAGGAGGGAGGAGAGAGAGGAGAGAGAGGAGAGGAGTGAGAGGAGAGGGGGAGGAGAGGAGGAGAGAGGAGGAGAGGAAGAAGAGAGGAGAGGGGGGAAAGAGGAGAGAGGAAGGAGAGAGGGAGGAGAGGGGGAGGAGATGAGAGAGGAGAAGATAGAGAGGAGTGGAGAGGAGGGAAAAGGAGGTGGAGAGGAGTGAGAGAGGGGAGAGAAAGGAGCGAGAGTAGAGAGGTGAGGAGAGAAGAGGAATGGAGAGGAGAGGAGGTGGAGAGGAGTGAGAGAAGAGCGAGAGAGGAGAAGAGAGTGGAGGAGAGTCCCCTAAAAGGAAACATATAGAGAATGTTTTTGGTTCCTCCCTCTATCTATCTGTCTGTCTATCTATCTATCTGTCTATCTATCTATCTGTCTGTCTATCTGTCTATCTGTCTATCTGTCTATCTAACTATCTGTCTGTCTATCTGTCTATCTGTCTATCTGTCTGTCTGTCTATCTGTCTATCTGTCTGTCTATCTATCTATCTGTCTGTCTATCTATCTATCTGTCTGTCTGTCTGTCTGTCTGTCTGTCTGTCTGTCTGTCTGTCTGTCCGTCTGTCTCTGTATGTACTTTAAAAATCCAATCTCCATCGTCAGCTTGATACAGAATCAGAGCGAGACATAAGTGCAGGAAATCTATGCTCTGGGTTTAAAGTGACCTCTGAAGCTAAGCAGGACAGGGCCTGGTTAGTACTGTGATGGGAGACCTCTGGGAACAGCAAGTGCCACAGTGGGGCGAAACTGTGGTTGTGTCCTTAGGCAAGACACTTCCCCCACATTAGAATGAGTCTGGTGTGTGTGTGAATGGTTGGTGGTGGTGGGAGGGGCCTCGCTTCTGTCAGTGTGCCCCAGGGCAGCTGTGGCTACAGTAGTAGTTTATCACCACTGAGTTTGGAGGTAAAGAATAATGACATGTGAAGCGTCTTTGAGAGTCTGAACAAGGGCTGTATGAAACTGATTTATTATTATTATTATTATCTCAAAGTGCAGTGCTTTCTAATTATTGCACTGATGCATGTTCTGTTGTGTTGTGTTTTAGAGTCACAATAGTGGTTTGGTTTGGTTAGGGCTGGGTTAGGGTTAGATTTCAGTAGGATTGGAGATAAGATAAGGAACCGGCAAACATTCTGCAAGACCAAGAAGTTAGAAAAAGTCCATTTGGCATAAACCTGTGTCCTGTATCATTGACAGCAGGTGGACACAGCTCCTCAAGTAGATACAGACTTTAAAAAAAAAAAGTTTATTGAATCCCGGAGATATGTGGAGCTGAGGGAGCGGCATCAGCAGTCACCGGTATCTCCCAGAGCCAGGAGCACCAGGAGACTCCGGGACACTCTCAAACCATCAACGACCCCTTGAGCCTAAAATTATCCGCGGCCTCAGAGCAGCCCCAGCCGGATGCAGCCGCACACACCGGGACTAACCAGGTCAAGCGGGCGCTATTTCTGGGATAAGTTTGGAGCGGCGCCGGGGTGCACGGGGGTCGCCTGGCCTTACACTGCGATGGAGAAGCCAATTTCGCCGCCTAATCACTCGCCGCGATGAAAAGGGCCCATTCTCCGGCTCTCAAAGCTTAAATGAAATCTGCGGACGGCGATTGGGAAGCGCGGGGCCGGCGTCTTATCTCGCTCACCGACGTTTCATTTCCTGCTTCATTTGGTGTTTCGGAGCCGGAATCTCATTTGGACGGATCCTCAATGACGCTCATAACTTGAAATGACTTGGATGGTTGTTAAAGAGCGAGGGCTGGACGGCGGCGCTGGAAAAGGACGGTGGAATTAGCAAAAGTTAGAGCAATGAGTAACTTTAGTGATGGCGTCGGAGGAGAGAGCGCCGCCTCGCACCTCGGGACCGGGGGCAATGGGAATGTGCCTCTCTCTGTGGGAAGAATAACGGCTTTCTGTGATCTCATCTGGATCAGACCGGTCCCGGAGCCGAGGACACGGGTTGTGAAAAAGTTCTGGAGGTTTGGAATGAGGTGTTGACAGTCGGAAGGTTCTGGGTTCAAGTTTTTCAATCCTATGTTTTGTGTCGTTCTTAATTACAACAGAAGAGGACTTTAAAAACTGTTTATTGCCAAAAACAGATCAGACCCAGGACTGAGGCTGTAGACCCAGGACTGAGGTTGTAGATCCAGGACTGAGGCTGTAGACCCAGGACAGAGGCTGTAGACCCAGGACTGAGGCTGTAGATCCAGGACTGAGGCTGTAGACCCAGGACTGAGGTTGTAGATCCAGGACTGAGGCTGTAGACCCAGGACTGAGGTTGTAGATCCAGGACTGAGGCTGTAGACCCAGGACTGAGGTTGTAGATCCAGGACTGACGCTGTAGACCCAGGACTGAGGCTGTAGATCCAGGACTGAGGCTGTAGACCCAGAACAGTTTGCCGCGTGCCTGTTGTGTGCAAACAGAGACCTGACTTTAGAAAAGAATTGGTCTTTTCTCTGAGGCCTGTTCACCCACGAGCCGAGGCATGAGTCTGGAATCCAAATCCCGGTCCCGGTCCTGGTCCTCCCCACCACAGAGAGAGCATTCATGTCCCGGGCTGAGGCCAACACTGCACAATACTGGCCTCAGCTCCTGACGCTGCAGCTCGTGGGAAAGGAAATGTAAACAGCATTTCAACATGACAAGGAGAGAAGGAAGACATCACGCTTCACCCAGTCTGAGTCCTGGGTCTACAGTGGTCATCTGGTCTCTCTCTCTGGTCTCTCTTTCTGGTTTCTGTCTGGTCTCTCTTTCTGGTTTCTGTCTGGTCTCTCTGGTCTCTCTATGGTCTCTCTTTCTGGTCTCTCTCTCTGGTCTCTATGGTCTCTCTTTATTGTCTCTCTCTGGTCTCTCTCTGGTCTCTCTGGTCTCTCTCTGGTCTCTCTCTGGTCTCTCTCTCTGGTCTCTCTCTATGGTCTCTCTTTATGGTATCTCTCTCTGGTCTCTCTCCTCTCTCTCTCTGGTCTCTCTCTATGGTCTCTCTTTATGGTATCTCTCTCTGGTCTCTCTCTCCTCTCTCTCTGGTCTCTCTCTGGTCTCTCTCCTCTCACTCTGGTCTCTCTCTGGTCTCTCTCTGGTCTCTCTCTGGTCTCCCTCTGGTCTCCCTCTGGTCTCCCTCTGGTCTCCCTCTGGTCTCGTTCTGGTCTCTCTCTGGTCTCTCTCTGGTCTCTTTCTGGTCTCCCTCTGGTCTCCCTCTGGTCTCCCTCTGGTCTCCCTCTGGTCTCCCTCTTGTCTCGTTCTGGTCTCTCGCTGGTCTCCCTCTGGTCTTCCTCTGGTCTCCCTCTGGTCTCGTTCTGGTCTCTCTCTGACCTTTTATTGAATCTTCTCTAATTCACTCTAGTTTCTTGTTGTGTCTCAGACTCGGGTCAAACTCAGGGCACTTTCCCCGGAACGCTGGATTTACACACTAAAGGTGGAGCAACACGCCTCCCCCCTCCCCCTTCCTTACCCTCCTCCCCCCTCCCTCACTCTCTTTCCCTTCCTCCCTCACCCTCCTCCCTCCTCTCCTTCACCTACACTCATAAAATATGATGATAAATAAGTCAAAAATTGCTCCAATTTGACAAAATGTTTTTTGATTTGAGCTCATTCTGACTTAAACAAGATTTGTTGTGGGTCAAAGGAAAATGAATGTCTCCCAGATCCAGTCAGACCTCTGAGGCTAAGCAGGGCAGGGCCTGGTTAGTACTGTGATGGGAGACCTCTGGGTCACAGTGGGGCGGCTGCGGCTGTAAAGTGCCAGACCGTGGTTGTGTCCTTAGGCAAGAAACTTCCCCCACATTACAATGAGTCTGGTGTGTGTGTGTGTGAATGGTTGGTGGTGGTGGGAGGGGCCAATGGCACAGACTGGTTGCCTCGCTTCTGTCAGTGTGTCCCAGGGCAGCTGTGGCTACAATAGTAGTTTATTACCACCGTGTTTGGAGAGAGAGAATAATGACATGTGAAGAGACTTTGAGAGTCCAGAAAAGTAATGTATAAAACCAATGCATCGTTGTTATTATTATTATTATTATTATTATTATTATTATTAATAATAATCAATTGTAGATAAAATCCACTCGATTCAGTCAGTTATTACCTCATATTGGATCATTATTTGCAGTGTAGCTCTGGACAGCATTAACCTGGACAGAGGTGAGCTGTCAGGCCTCTGTGCCGTGACCCAGCCGAGGCCAGAGGTCCTCCAGGGGGAGAGGGAGGAGAGAGAGGAGAGGGAGAAGAGGGGGGAGAGGGGGGAGAGGGAGGAGAGGGAGGAGAGGGGGGAGAGGGGGCAGGTTTCTCGCCCTCGTCCCGTGTGGAGAAAGGAAATGTGGTTTAGAAGCTACATGTCTGTAACAGGACACCAGCCACATGCTTTCACTTTAGCAGGAGACCAGAGGGAGACCAGAGAGGGACCAGAGAGAGAGACCAGAGAGAGACCAGAGAGAGACCAGAGAGAGACCAGAGAGAGAGCAGAGAGAGACCAGAGAGAGAGACCAGAGAGAGACCAGAGAGAGACGCCAGAGAGAGACGCCAGAGAGAGAGACCAGAGAGAGAGCTGAGAGAGAGCTGAGAGAGAGCAGAGAGAGAGCATAGAGAGAGCAGAGAGAGAGCATAGAGAGAGCAGAGAGAGCAGAGAGAGAGCAGAGAGAGACCAGAGAGAGAGACCAGAGAGAGAGACCAGAGAGAGAGACCAGAGAGAGAGACCAGAGAGAGGGACCAGAGAGAGAGAGACCAGAGAGAGACCAGAGAGAGACAAGAGAGAGACCAGAGAGAGAGCTGAGAGACACCAGAGAGAGAGAGCATAGAGAGAGCATAGAGAGAGCAGAGAGAGACCAGAGAGAGACCAGAGAGAGAGACCAGAGAGGGAGACCAGAGAGAGGGACCAGAGAGAGAGACCAGAGAGAGACCAGAGAGAGAGCAGAGAGGGACCAAAGACCAGAGAGAGACCACCATAGAGAGACCAGAGAGAGGCCAGAGAGAAAGAGAGACCAGAGAGAGACCATAGAGAGACGAGAGAGAGCAGAGAGAGAGCAGAGAAAGAGCAGAGAGAGACAAGAGAGAGACCAGAGAGAGACCAGAGAGAGACCAGAAAGAGACCAGAGAGAGACCAGAGAGAGAGACCAGAGGGAGAGACCAGAGAGAGAGACCAGAGAGAGAGACCAGAGAGAGAGACCAGAGAGAGAGACCAGAGAGAGAGACCAGAGAGAGACCAGAGAGAGACCAGAGAGAGACCAGAGAGAGACCAGAGAGAGACCAGAGAGAGACCAGAGAGACCAGAGAGAGACCAGAGAGAGACCAGAGAGAGAGCAGAGAGAGACCAGAGAGAGACCAGAGAGAGACCAGAGAGAGAGAGCAGAGAGAGACACCAGAGAGAGAGCAAAGAGAGACCAGAGAGAGAGACCAGAGAGAGACCAGAGAGAGACCAGAGAGAGACCAGAGAGAGAGCAGAGAGGGACCAGAGAGAGAGCAGAGAGGGACCAAAGACCAGAGAGAGACCACCAGAGAGAGGCCAGAGAGAGAGAGACCAGAGAGAGACCAGAGGGAGACCAGAGGGAGAGACCAGAGAAAGGGACCAGAGAGAGAGACAAGAGAGAGACAAGAGAGAGACCAGAGAGAGACCAGAGAGAGAGCAGAGAGAGACCAGAGAGAGCCCAGAGAGAGACCAGAGAGAGAGACCAGAGAAAGGGACCAGAGAGAGAGACAAGAGAGAGACCAGAGAGAGACCAGAGAGAGACCAGAGAGAGACCAGAGAGAGAGCAGAGAGAGAGCAGAGAGGGACCAAAGACCAGAGAGAGACCAGGGAGAGGCCAGAGAGAAAGAGAGACCAGAGAGAGACCAGAGAGAGACCAGAAAGAGACCAGAGAGAGACCAGAGAGAGACCAGAGAGAGAGCAGAGAGAGAGCAGAGAAAGAGCAGAGAGAGACAAGAGAGAGACCAGAGAGAGAGCAGAGAGGGACCAGAGGGAGAGACCAGAGAGAGAGCAGAGAGAGCAAAGAGAGAGCAGAGAGAGAGACCAGAGAGGGAGACCAGAAAGAGACCAGAGAGAGACCAGAGAGAGACCAGAGAGAGACCAGAGGGAGAGACCAGAGAGAGAGACCAGAGAGAGACCAGAGAGAGACCAAAGAGAGAGACCAGAGAGAGAGACCAGAGAGAGAGCAGAGAGAGCAAAGAGAGAGCAGAGAGAGAGACCAGAGAGAGAGACCAGAAAGAGACCAGAGACAGACCAGAGAGAGACCAGAGAGAGACCAGAGGGAGAGACCAGAGAGAGAGACCAGAGAGAGACCAGAGAGAGACCAAAGGGAGAGACCAGAGAGAGAGACCAGAGAGAGACCAGAGGGAGAGACCAGAGAGAGAGACCAGAGAGAGAGACCAGACAGAGAGAGACCATAGAGAGAGACCAGAGAGAGACCAGAGGGAGAGACCAGAGAGAGAGACCAGAGAGAGACCAGAGAGAGACCAAAGGGAGAGACCAGAGAGAGAGACCAGAGAGAGACCAGAGGGAGAGACCAGAGAGAGAGACCAGAGAGAGAGACCAGACAGAGACCATAGAGAGAGACCAGAGAGAGACCAGAGGGAGAGACCAGAGAGAGAGACCAGAGAGAGAGACCAGACAGAGACCAGAAACATGTTGTATTTTAGGTGTGTTGCTGGTTATGTGGGTTGTGTGTCTGTGTGTTGCTGGCTCAGAGGGGCAGGCCTCAGTGGAATGTATGTTGATAATGTGTTGCTTGTGTGTTGATAGTTGTGTGTTGCTGGTTGTGTGTCAGCTGTGTGTGTGTGTTGCCGGGACAGATGGGCAGGCCTCAGTAGGATGTGAGTGGGCGACACACAAAGCTGCTAGCTAAAGCGCTCATCACAGAATGCTAACGGCTTTCGATGGATACTATTGTCTTTTCTAATCATCCAAAGGAGAATCGGCGAAAGACCGTGGGCGGAAACAACAACCATGTTAGTTTATAACAATACGTTTTTGTTTCTGGGAAATGTTTTAATCAGACTTTAGGAAAAATCAATGTTTTTGTTCAAATCTTAACCCTAATTATTTTTTGCGTTTTCAAATGTTTGGTCTTTTGAAATTATTCATGGTCTCTTTCTCTCTGGATCTCTGGTCGCTCTTTATGGTCTCTCTCTCTCTCTACTCTCTCTCTCTCTATTGTCCCTCTCTGTCTGGTTCTCTCTTTGTTCTCTTCTCTCTGGTCTCTCTCTGGTCTCTCTCTGGTCTCTCTCTGTGGTCTCTCTGGTCTCTCTCTGGTCTCTCTCTGGTCTCTCTGGTCTCTCTCTGGTCTCTCTCTGGTCTCTCTCTGGTCTCTCTCTGTGGTCTCTGTGGTCTCTCTCTGTGGTCTCTCTCTGGTCTCTCTCTGGTCTCTCTCTGGTCTCTCTCTGTCCTTGCAGTAGACTGTCTCTTCCTACACCTCCTCCCTCCCCTCCTCCTCCTCCACCCTCTGTCTCCTCCTCCTCCTCTGTGCTTGCCTCTCTCTGGTTTCTCTCTGGTCTCTCTCTGGTCTCTCTCTGGTCTCTCTCTGTGGTCTCTCTCTGGTCTCTCTCTGGCCTCTCTCTGGTCTCTCTCTGTGGTCTCTCTCTGGTATCTCTCTGGTCTCTCTCTGGTCTTTCTCTGTGGTCTCTCTCTGTGGTCTCGCTCTGGTCTCTCTCTGGTCTCTCTCTGTGGTCTCTCTCTGGTATCTCTCTGACCTCTCTCTGGTCTCTCTCTGGTCTTTCTCTGTGGTCTCTCTCTGTGGTCTCGCTCTGGTCTCTCTCTGGTCTCTCTCTGGTCTCTCTCTCTTTGGTCTCTCTCTGATCTCTCTCTCTGGTCTCTCTCTGGTCTCTCTCTGGTCTCTCTCTGGTCTCTCTCTCTGGTCTCTCTCTGGTCTCTCTCTCTCTCTGGTCTCTCTCTCTCTCTGGTCTCTCTCTGGTCTCTCTGGTCTCTCTCTCTGGTCTCTCTCTCTCTCTGGTCTCTCTCTCTGGTCTCTCTCTGGTCTCTCTCTATGGTCTCTTTCTGGTCTCTCTCTGGTCTCTCTCTCTGGTCTCTCTCTGGTCTCTCTCTGGTCTCTCTCTACAACTGTATTTACAGTTAAATGCACCACATATGAAGGATTGAACTAAAAATAGTCGTTTTTAATCCACATTAATGTTCCGTCTTTAGATGAAACTGTTCTATTTTTAACTTTTTTGAAAAGAATCTTGAGCTCGACTCTAATTGGTTTAAGAAGCGGATCATTGGAAAAATGAAAAACCTCACGTCTTTTACAATTTATTTTTTAATTGTTTTTTTCACATTGAAGCAACTGGATTAAGTCTCTCTCTGGTCCCTCTCTTCCTGGTTTTTCTCTCTCTGGTCTCTCTCCAATCTCTCTCTGATCTTTTTCTGGTCTCTCTCTATGGTCTCTCTGGTCTCTCCCTCTGGTCTCTCTTTCTCTATGGTCTCTCTCTCTGGTCTCTCTCTCTCTGGTCTCTCTCTCCCTGGTCTCTCTCTCTGGTCTCTCTCTGGTCTCTTTGGTCTCTCTCTGGTGTCTCTCTCTCTGGTCTCTCTCTCTCTGGTCTCTCTGGTCTCTCTCTCTGGTGTCTCTCTCTGGTGTCTCTCTCTGGTCTCTCTCTGGTCTCTCTCTCTGGTGTCTCTCTCTGGTCTCTCCCTCTGGTCTCTCTCTCTGGTCTCTCTCTCTGGTCTCTCTCTGGTCTTTCTCTCTGGTCTCTCTCTCTGGTCTCTCCCTCTGATCTCTCTACATTCATCTTAATCTCGTATAAAAAAAGAAAAAACAATTATAAATGAGTTTCTCTGTGACTGAAATCCCACATCACTGTCAGAACAAAGGCTTCTCTCACAGTGTTCAGGACCATGGAGAGCTCTGTGTGTGTCTGTGTGTGTCTGTGTGTGTCTGTGTGTGTCTGTGTGTGTGTCAGTGTGTGTCAGTGTGTGTGTGTGTCTGTGTGTCAGTGTCTGCGTGTGTGTGTGTGTCAGTGTGTGTCTGTGTGTGTGTCAGTGTGTGTCAGTGTGTGTGTGTGTCTGTGTGTCAGTGTCTGCGTGTGTGTGTGTGTCAGTGTGTGTCTACTCTACTCAGCTCTACTCTGGTCCTGTGTAACCAGTACCAGGTCCTGGTTCTATCCAGACCGAGCTGGTAGCAAAGAATCTCCACAGACACTGGTTTGTTGTGGGTTGGTTGCTAGGATACGGTACCAGTGTTTTTCAGTGTTTTGGATGTATCTTTATACGCAGTAACGTCTTCTCTCCTGTTTCTTTCAGTTTTGTGGATCTGTCTTCACTGCTGCAGCTGCGGGAACATCGGAGTGAAGACCAACGCTCTCTAAGGTAACGTCCTGTTCTCTGTGGTTTTTGCGTGGGTCAAATGCAGCCTTCAGACCAAACAAAAAGAAAGAGATTTCCCTGACCCTGGGAGATTGTGGAGATCGTGCTTTTGTCTTGGCCGCTGCTGTTTTTGTCTGTGTGTGGATGGACTCTGTTGTACCAGCGGCTGCTAGCATAGCATTCAGAACAACACGTACACAGTGCATCTAGTTTAGCGACAGCAGGAGTGTGGCTGTGGACATGGGGCACATGTGTGTTGTGCTGGTCCCAGTGGCTTCTTCACCTTTTCAAGAGTTTATTTAACCATTTTCTGGATCGACTTTTGAGTTTCTACATCGACCTGAAGCTTTGAACTGAATCAACCTCGTTCTGTCTCTATCACTGTGAAACACTTTTACATCAAACTGCATCCATTTGGTACCAGAGAGAGACCAGAGAGAGACCAGAGAGAGACCAGATAGAGAGCAGAGAGAGAGCAGAGAGAGAGCAGAGAGAGAGAGCAGAGAGAGAGAGCAGAGAGAGAGAGCAGAGAGAGAGACCAGAGAGAGTGACCAGAGAGAGAGACCAGAGAGAGAGACCAGAGAGAGAGACCAGAGAGAGACCAGAGACACTGTAGAATAAGAAACTTGTCCGTGTAGTGATTACAGTCTGCTGCTGTGTCTCGTTGATGGTTTCTCTCGTGCTCGGGTAGCAGCGATGCACTTCCTGGTTTTGACCTGTTCTGATTGGTTCAGGCTAGGGCTGAAACAACTAATCGATTAATCGACGACTAATCGATTATTGAAATAGTCGACAACTATTTTAGTAATCGATTAATCGTTTTCTGGTTCACACGGACTCAAACAGAGCAAAAATGACATGAAAATGTAGTATTTTTGATTAAAACCGACTTTGTTTTTATAATTTCATGAATATCTGTCTGTCTCATCCAATCAGATAGCAGAATTAGCACAAAGAGCCTGTTACAAACATTTACTTTAAGTTTACGCCATCAATACGTCCTCGAGTGTTGCCACTTTAACTTTTTGTGATGAAAAAATATTTTTTTTCTACACAATTCACAGCCAAGCGATTACTCGATTAATCGTAAAAATAATCGATAGATTAATCGATTACAAAATAATCGTTAGTTGCAGCTCTAGTTCAGGCTCAGACTTTGTATTGCTGTAGAACACTGTGGACCCGGCATTTGACGCGTCTCTGCAGCCGGACCAGAGGACCCAGTGTCAGGGTCACATGGTGCTTTCATAGTTTCAATACTTCTGGTTTGAATTTCATTTAGTATTTTGCTCCATCTCTGGCTCTTATGGACTCACATGAAGTAAACTCCTCCAGCTCACTAACTGTTTGTGTGACATCACCATTTTGGTCCCGAAAGTGTTTCTGGTTCTTCATGGTCCTGGTGTTTATAAATGATGTTGTCTTTGTTAATCCCATAGACTGTATATATTAATGGACCGAGTCACGCCTATCTCCACCGTTAGGAGTTGGCCATAAAAAGTGCTTTCATGGAGCAATCCAAAATGGCCGCGAGTGGTCCCGCCCACAAGAAAATAGTGAAAAAACGCATCTGCGCATGTGTCAGCCGGCGCAGCTCCATTCATTTGAACGAGAGACTTCAAAAATTCACAGCAACTAAACTAGACTGGTCCAAAGTCCCCCCTCAGCATTGATACACATGTGGAACGGAGCTTTGGGCCAAGAGCCAACTTTTGGACCATCCTGTAAAGACGTTTTCAAAAGGTCTGCCAATGCTATATGTTAGCATTGGCTAATTCTTCTTCTGGGTCCACCCCCACAGGCCCGGGGTGGTATTGCAGCATGTCAGCGCACGTCATTTTGGCCACTTTTGAGCTGTTACCCGCCCACCCTTGTTAATCCAGATACGAACCATATAAGGACGGACCATTCAGAGGCCGTCATTCACGAGGGTTCAGTTTGCTTTAGCAACCGTCTTAGCAACACTTTCTCAGGGCCAGGCTCAGGACCAGGACCAGGCTCAGGACCAGGCTCAGGACCAGACTCAGGACCAGACTCAGGACCAGACTCAGGACCAGGCTCACGCTCAGGACCAGACCCAGACTCAGGGGACTGTGGGAGCAGGTGGCTGGGCAGAGGCAGGGCAGCTGTGACCTTGGAGCATGTAGAGAGAATCAGCCAAAGCATCTCTGAAAACAGAATGGACAGAGCATGAGTGGAGGTCGACTCTCGGGCTCGTGCTGGTCCCGTAGCAGTGCTGTGGTGCATTCTGATGTTGTGTCCTTGAGCCACAGAAGTCACTGTTGTTTGTAATCACTCAATTCTCTCATTCATCCACCAATGATTTCATTCATGTTATCTTTAATGTTTAGAAGCGGAACCGCAACTGTACTCGTTCTACAGCCTGAGTCCTGGATCCAGACAGACAGACAGACAGACAGACAGATTTATCTTGTAATTTGAAGCTCTGGTCTGTGAATGGCACTATATGGATAAACTTGACTTACTTCTGGTCTCAATCTGGAACAGTCTTCCTAAAAATGTGAGACAGGCTTCTTCTCTGACATTGCTCAAATCCAGGTTAAAAACTCATTGTTTAGCTGCAACTTTCTCAACCTTTAATAACGACCTGTGATTATTTATGACTTTGAATGCTTCGTTTTGTTCAGCACTTTGAGTTCCTGTGTGTCTGATCTGTGCTATACCATTAAACTGGCCTTGTTTAAATGATCCAGGACCTTTAAGGACATACACTGCGCTGCACCAGATGGAACGGTGCCTGGTCACGTTGTATAACCCGCTATTGATGTAGGAAGGAACCAGCAGCAGCAGACTCTCTCACCGCAGAGATGTGAGGTGGACTGGGGGGGAGGCAGGGGGAGACGGGGGAGGAGGGGGAGGTTGGAGGTGTCTGCTGTATAATTGGGGTGAGCAGATCTCTGGGGCGGATAGCGGGAAGCTTTATTAAGACCGCTCCGAGTCGGATCCATCCTCACCCACCCACACAACCTCCATCTTCCACCGCAGCGACAAAGAGAAGAAGTCCTCCCCCCCTCCTCCCCCTGCCTCCCCCCTCCTCACACCAGAGAGCCCCTGACTCCAGCCTCTGATGGCCACGCTTCACTCCGGGCGGTGATGGCTCTGTTTGTTTCGGGAGGCAGGGGTGAGGCGGGGGTGAGGCTCACTTAGAGCTTTCAGTAGGGTTTGAGAAGAGAGAGCCCTTTAGAGATGTCATGTTCGAGTTTAGAGATGAAAACTCTCTCTGAAGCACCATGAGTCTGAGAACAAGGACGCTACGCCCCCTGCAACTCAGACTGATGTTTGTTGACAAAAACCCTCTGTGCTAGTTTTGGGAACGAGGGGAGAGACCAGAGAGAGAATGGAGAGAGAGAAACTAGAGAGAGAGACAAGGGAGTTAAGATAGAGAGACGTAAGAGAGAGTCCAGGGAGAGAGATCAGAAAGAGACCAGCGAGCGAGACCAGAGAGAGAGAAGCCAGAGAGGGACTAGAGAGAGAGACCAGAGCGAGAGAGACCAGAGCGAGAGAGACCAGAGAGAGAGAGACCAGAGAGGGACTAGAGAGAGAGACCAGCGAGAGAGAGAGAGACCAGAAAGGGACTAGAGAGAGACAAAGGAGAGAGAGAAGAGAGAGACCAGAGAGAGAGACAATACAATACAATAGAATGTATTCTTGTATAGCCCTAGGTCACAACAGAAGTCATCTCAGAGGACTTAACAAAACCATTGAAATCACCAACACAGGTCAGGGAATCAACAGTTAAAACACATGAAGAATATAAAGCACAGACAGAAGAAAATGTCCATACATGTTGTAGAATGCTAAAGTGTCCTGATCATCACCAATCCTTTCTGTTGGACACTAACTGTCCAACAAGACCCTCCTGCATCCACAAGGAACAACTCTTAAAAAACCCAGTGGGAAAAAGTGAGAAACCTTGGGGAGAACTAGGGAAACCCACAGGGAGGGAGACCCATATGAGAAAGGGATCCGCTCCTCCGGACGGACAGGCTAATGATCCAGGACCTAAGCTAGCTACAGGACGTGGACCAGTGGCCGCTGAACGTGGACAGGTCCGGTGCAGGACTGAAGCACTCCCAGGCGGGTCGGGCGGGGCAGTCCGCAGGTGTAGATGGAGGAGGCCAGGCTCAGAGATCCCGTCATCGTACCATGAAACAGACAATGGGACAACGGGTGAATAGCAATGAACAAACTACAGTCAAAATCCTAATATGCTAAACAGATAAAGTAGGAAGGAGGAGAGGATAGTGCTCAAGTTACCATACTTCTCCAGCAGGGGGCTCCCTATGCAGCTTGACTGACAGTCTGAGGAGTTTAGCCTTCCCCGAGTCTTACCTTCCTAGCCATATGCTAAACTAAAGAGGACTGTTTTAAACCTAGCCTTGAATAAAGAGAGCGTATCTGAAAGGAGGTGAGACAGCAGCAGCCACGGCTAGGCTAGCCTAGGTTACAGCACCAAGATTCATGGATTGCACACCAGGTGTGCAAACCGATCCAAGCAAACCTAATTATATATTATATATCATATATACCATACATACCATATATATCATATATAATACATATATATAGAGAGACCAGGGAGTTAAGAAAGAGAGATCGGATAGAGAGTCCAGGGAGAGAGATCAGAAAGAGACTAGAGAGGGAGACCAGAAGGACACCAGAAGGAGACCAGAGAGAGACCAGCGAGGGAGTCCGTACCATAAGTCTGCGAACAAAGGACGATCAACCCCCTTAAACTCAGACTAATGTTTGTTGACAAAAACCATCTGTGCTAGTTTTGGGAACGAGGGGAGAAAGACCAGCGAGAGAGACCGAAGAGAGAAACCAGTGAGAGAGACCAGCGAAGGACCAGAGACAGACCAGAGCAAGAGACCAGAGTGGGAGACCATCATGAAACCAGAGAGAGAGGGACCAGAGAGAGACCAGAGATACACCAGAGAGAGAGAGACCAGAGAGAGACCAGAGATACACCAGAGAGAGAGACCAGAGAGGGTGTTCTAGCCTTAGACCGTGTTGGTGGACCAGGGGTCCTTCCATTCAACATGGACTCTCTGTCGATCTGCTGCTAATTGGTCGTAGCTGGAGGTGTTGGACTCTCCACTTCCTCCAGTCCCTCGTTAATCCTCCCTCTCTGGTTGAAACCCTCTCTCCTGCCGTTCCCCTGTCCCCCTCTCTCCCCCTCTCTCCCCCCCTCTCCCCCCTCTCCCTCCTGCCGAGCTCAGGCTAATCCTCGGGCTGGTCATGGTGGGAGATTGTGGGCCGGTTCAAAGCCTCGCTCTGGCCAGACATCAAAGTTCAGGACCGCGGGGAGTTGACGAGGTCCAGCGTAAGTACTCCGGGGCGAGCCATGTGCCATTCCACCGGGAACGCCACCGGGAACGCCGCCACTCCGCCGGGATCCAGGCCGCTGATTGGTTGCCGCTCTGATCCTGTCCGACATACTGCACTTTGCCAAAGAAGGAGCTGAGTGTGAGAGCGACTGGGAGGTAGAAAAGGCTTTAGCAATGTGGGTTCAAAGAGAGAGACCAGAGAGAGACCAGAGAGAGACCAGAGAGAGACCAGAGAGAGACCAGAGAGAGGCCAGAGAGAGACCAGAGAGAGACCAGAGAGAGGCCAGAGAGAGACCAGAGAGAGACCAGAGAGAGACTAGAGAGAGACAAGAGAGAGACCAGAGAGAGACCAGAGAGAGACCAGAGAGAGACCAGAGAGAGGCCAGAGAGAGACCAGAGAGAGACCAGAGAGAGACCAGAAAGAGACCAGAGAGAGACCAGAGAGAGACCAGAGAGAGACCAGAGAGAGACCAGAGAGAGACTAGAGAGAGGTCAGAGAGAGGCCATAAAGACACCAAAGAGAGACCAGAGAGAGACCAGAGAGAGGTCAGAGAGAGACCAGAGAAAGACCAGAGAGAGACCAGAGAAAGACCAGAGAAAGACCAGAGAGAGACCAGAGAGAGACCAGAGAGAGACCAGAGAAAGACCAGAGAGAGACACAAGAGAGACAGAAGAGAGAGACCAGAGAGAGACCAGAGAGAGACCAGAGAGAGACCAGAGAGAGACCAGAGAGAGACCAGAGAGAGACCAGAGAGAGACCGGAGAGAGACCGGAGAGAGACCAGAGAGAGACCAGAGAGAGACCAGAGAGAGACCAGAGGGAGACCAGAGGGAGACCAGAGGGAGACCAGAGAGAGACTGGGTGGTATAAGAGTATAATAATGTTGATTTTCAGTGGTCCCTCTACGCGACAACATCCAGAAGTGTGAAATAAGTCATTATGGTCCAGACGACAGCCTCACATATGGACTGGAGCTTATTTAAAGAACTGTGTGTGTGTGTGTGTGTGTGTGTGTGTGTGTGTGTGTGTGTGTGTGTGTGTGTGTGTGTGTGTGTGTGTGTGTGTGTGTGTGTGTGTGTGTGTGTGTGTGTGTCTCTGTGTGTGTGTGTGTGTGTGTGTGTGTGTTTGTGTGTGTGTGTGTGTGTGTGTCTGTGTGTGTGTGTGTGTGTGTGTGTGTGTGTGTGTGTGTGTGTGTGTGTGTGTGTGTGTGTGTGTGTGTGGGTGTATGTGTGTGTGTGTGTGTCTGTGTGTGTGTTTGTGTGTGCGTTTGTGTGTGTGTCATTGTTCTCAGAGAAAGACCAATCAGTGATCTGCTAATTGACTTCCTGACACAAAGTGAGCAGAGGCGTCAGGACACTGCTCTGTCTAACACACTGAGACCAGGGAGAGACCAGGGAGAGACCAGAGAGAGACCAGAGAGAGACCAGAGAGAGAGACCAGAGAGAGACAAGAGAGAGAGACCAGAGAGAGAGACCAGAGAGAGACAAGAGAGAGTGACCAGAGAGAGAGACCAGAGAGAGACCAGAGAGAGACCAGAGAGAGAGACCAGAGAGAGACCAGAGAGAGACCAGGGAGAGACCAGAGAGAGAGACCAGAGAGAGACCAGAGAGAGACCAGAGAGAGACCAGAGAGAGAGACCAGAGAGAGAGACCAGAGAGAGAGACCAGAGAGAGAGACCAGGGAGAGACAAGAGAGAGAGACCAGAGGGAGAAACCAGAGAGAGACCAGAGAGAGAGACCAGAGAGAGAGACCAGAGAGAGAGACCAGAGAGAGAGACCAGAGAGAGACCAGAGAGAGAGACCAGAGAGAGAGACCAGGGAGAGACCAGAGAGAGAGACCAGAGAGAGAGACCAGAGAGAGAGACCAGAGAGAGAGACCAGAGAGAGACCAGAGAGAGAGACCAGAGAGAGAGACCAGAGAGAGACCAGAGAGAGAGACCAGAGAGAGAGACCAGAGAGAGAGACCAGAGAGAGAGACCAGAGAGAGAGACCAGAGAGAGAGACCAGAGCGAGAGACCAGAGAGAGAGACCAGGGAGAGACCAGAGAGAGAGACCAGAGAGAGACCAGAGAGAGACCAGGGAGAGAGACCAGAGAGAGAGACCAGGGAGAGACCAGGGAGAGACCAGGGAGAGACCAGAGAGAGACCAGAGAGAGACCAGAGAGAGAGACCAGAGAGAGAGACCAGGGAGAGACCAGGGAGAGACCAGGGAGAGACCAGAGAGAGAGACCAGAGAGAGAGATCAGAGAGAGAGACCAGAGAGAGACCAGGGAGAGAGACCAGAGAGAGAGATCAGGGAGAGACCAGAGAGAGACCAGGGAGAGACCAGAGAGAGACCAGAGAGAGAGACCAGAGAGAGAGACCAGGGAGAGACCAGAGAGAGAGACCAGAGAGAGAGACCAGAGAGACCAGAGAGAGACCAGGGAGAGAGACCAGAGAGACCAGAGAGAGACCAGAGAGAGAGACCAGAGAGACAGCTGTTTCCTAAATCTCTCTCTCTCTCTCGCTTTGCAGAAGTCTCTCTCTCTCTCTCTCTCCCTGCAGCAGAATCTCTCTCTCTCTGTCTCTCTCTCTCTCCCCCCCTCTCTCTCTCCCTGCAGCAGACTCTCTCTCTCTCTGCAGCAGACTCTCTCTCGCTATCTCTCTCTGCAGCAGACTCTCTCTCTCTCTCTCTGCAGCAGACTCTCTCTCGCTATCTCTCTCTCTCTGCAGCAGACTCTCTCTCTCTCTGCAGCAGACTCTCTCTCTCTCTCTCTCTGCAGCAGACTCTCTCTCGCTATCTATCTCTGCAGCAGACTCTCTCTCTCTCTCTCTCTGCAGCAGACTCTCTCTCGCTATCTCTCTCTGCAGCAGACTCTCTCTCTCTCTCTCTCTCTCTGCAGCAGACTCTCTCTCTCTCTCTGCAGCAGACTCTCTCTCTCCTCATTCTGTGGCGATGGCTTTCCTTTATGAACACATTACCTCTGAGTTTATTTAGTTATCGCCGGGATCGTGCTGAGACGCCACTTTCCGCCTTTATCTGCCTTTCCGCTGCTCGTCCCGCTCTCTCACTGTTCCCCTCTCTCTCGCCGTTCCCTGCTCTCTTGCTGGTCCCCTCTCTCGCCGTTCCCCGCTCTCTCGCCGTTTCTCTCGCCGTTTCTCTCGCCGTTTCTCTCGCCGTTTCTCTCGCCGTTCCCCTCTCTCTCGCCGTTCCCCCCTCTCTCGCCGTTCCCCCCTCTCTCGCCGTTCCCCCCCTCTCTCGCCGTTTCTCTTGCCGTTCCCCTCTCTCTCTCTCGCCGTTTCTCTCGAGCCGTTCCCCTCTCTCTCGTGCCGGTCCCCTCTCTCGCCGGTCCCCTCTCTCGCCGGTCCCCTCTCTCGCCGGTCCCCTCTCTCGCCGGTCCCCTCTCTCTCACCGCTCCCCGCTCTCTTGCCGTTCCCCTCTCTCTCACCGTTCCTCGCTCTCTCGCCGCTCCCCTCTCTCTCATCTAACCCTTATTAATTTAAAAGTGAAATGAGATAGAGGCTTTATGTAAATTAGATTCATTATAAGCATGGCCAAAGTTTATGTCAGAATTAAATGTGCCCATGTTGTGATTTCATATTGTGGTGGCTCTGCACGTGTGTGATAATGTGTGTGATACACAACACTCAAAACTTGTGAGATCAGAGCCGTCTCTTGTATAAAGGAGACGTCACCTCGACTCAAACAGGCTGATCCAGAGTCTACTCCTCTGTCTGTGAGCCAGCCAGATCTGTCAATCACCTCCCGGCTTTTACTATTATTTTGATTTGTATTATTTTTGACAACAAACAGCATACTTATTGTGTATTGTTTACCCCGTTTTGACAAAAGTATTTAAAAACCATTTTCAATACAAATCAAACGGGCTTATACATGTGCGTCATATTGGTCATCAGAGTGGGAATCGAATGAGGCCAAATAACTGTAATCATGTTTAAAGCAGAGAAAGTCAAAAGCATATTATGGGCCCTTTAATGAAATACACACTCAAGGTTCGGGAAACAGTAAAACAGTGCGAATCATTGTGTGGCAGGACTGTGGCGCTCAGAGGGTTTATAATAATAACAATAGATCAGACTCAAAGGCACATTTTGAGTTCTATCTCCATCCATCTGTATCTGTCTGTCTATATCTATCTATCTCTATCCATCTCTATCCATCTCTATTTCTATCTATATGTCTCTATATCAATCACTGTAAACCTGTGGACAGTGTTAGCTTTAGCATCTCATCTGTCGCTAAAAGTGGAACATGTAGTTTCCTCTTTGGGCTAACACTAGAACCAGAGCAGTCAATTTGACGGCTTTTGGTTGAGGACATGTAGCTCCACCTACACGTACATGTCGGATCTTCATAACCATGTCTTTGTCTCTGTATCTGTAGCTTATTTCTATGTCATTGTATCTATGAATTTATATTTTATTTTTAAATGAGAGTAGATCTTTGTTGATGTAGCAGGAAACCAACCTTAAAACAGTGACAGGTTTTAGCACTTGGTAAAAGAGAATGAAGGTTAAAAACATACACAGTACTTTTACAGCAGTTTGAAGGATCCCATTGGTTTGAACGGAGCCTCAATCGACCAATCAGCTCTCAGCCCGAGTGTCTGCAGTGATTCTCGCTCTCAGAAGGAAAACGACGGAGAAGTGTTTTGATGATACATTTACAAAACTCTTTCTGTTGCGACAAACAAAACATGAAGTATTTATGAGCAGGAGAGAGATGGAAGTCTGAAAGTGCCACTGAGATCAAAACCACTCAAAAAGGACTCGGACTAGATCAAAACCACTCGATTCCTGAAAATATTATATTTTATCCTCTTTTTTTGCATTTTAACATCAGCAGACTGAAATGGATTGTGGAAATGGTAAAAATGGTTAAAGTTGTATGAATAGTAAAAATTATGGAAATGGTAGAAATGGTCTAGTGTTGACATTCATGGTCAGGGCTCTTCATGGTCAGGGCTCTTCATGGTCAGGGCTCTTCATGGTCAGGGCTCTTCATGGTCAGGGCTCTTCATGGTCAGGCGCCTGAATACATCCAGGGCCTGATCCACCCATATGTCTCCAACAGGAGTCTGAGGTCCTCCACTCAGAACCTGTTGATGGTCCTCCACTCAGAACCTGTTGATGGTCCTCCACTCAGAACCTGTTGATGGTCCTCCACTCAGAACCTGTTGATGGTCCTCCACTCAGAACCTGTTGATGGTCCCACTCAGAACCTGTTGATGGTCCTCCACTCAGAACCTGTTGATGGTCCTCCACTCAGAACCTGTTGATGGTCCCCCACTCAGAACCTGTTGATGGTCCCCCACTCAGAACCTGTTGATGGTCCTCCACTCAGAACCTGTTGATGGTCCCCCGCACTCGCTTTAAAACCAGAGGAGACAGATCCAGGCAGCTGCTCCTCGCCTCTGGAATGAGCTTCCTCAGTCTCTGCGTATCTTAGAGACTGTCGATGATTTTAAGTCCCAACTAAAGACACATTTGTTCTTTCTCGCCCTCTGTTCATAGGCCTGAACTGTTTTTCTGTGTTTTTGTTTTAATTTCTGATTTATATGTGTATTTTTATATGTGTTTTAATCTGTGAAGCGCTTTGTGACCCTGGTCTGCGAAATGCGCTTTATAAATAAACTTTACCTACTTGCTTACTCACTTACTTAAAGTGTTATAAATGGTAAAAATTGTAATGGAAATGTCGTAAGTGTTGGCGGGACCTGGCCCTTTGGCTCCTGCTGCGGCTGAATCACCTCCGGGGCTGGTTCTGAAGAGGGCAGTCTGTTAGAGCCGGGTCTAAAAGTTCAAAAAGCACAGTTTTGCATAACGCGCCGCCTTTAATTAAAACCTTCTCCCGGTTGTTTTTTCATGGCGTGACATTGGTTCCATCGTGCGCCGCGACGGCCCCTTTCCCCAAGGTGAGGATCCGGCAGCTTCCATAATCACATTTAAATACATTCAAATTCATTCAGGACTCCAGGGACGCTCAAGTGTGTATTTATATCCTTTATGTCCTTTTGAATCAACCATAAATTAACCACCGCCTTTTTACCTTCCTCTGAGGCTTCATCCAGCGGGCTCAAGTGGGCGATCAGTGGATGTTATGTGGGCGATGAGGGGACGATCATTCTCAACATTCATCATTCTAGTCTGGACTAATGTGATGGTACTTCCTGGTTCTAGTCTGGACTAATGTGATGGTACTTCCTGGTTCTAGTCCGGACTAATGTGATGGTAGTTCCTGGTTCTAGTCAGGACTAATGTGATGGTACTTCCTGGTTCTCGTCTGGACTAATTTGCACTGATTAGCAGGTACCACACTTTACTTCTTGTTCCCCACATGCCCTTTTCCCGTGATAGCGGAGGAGCTCTAAAAACAAAACAAAACAGTTCAAGACATATTTCGATAAATGTTGGTGTTAAAACAACTTGTTTCCACTGAAGTCAAATTAAAACACAGCAGAATCATCTCAGGATTCCTTAATAATAATAATAATAATAATAATAATAATATTTTATTTTTTATGGCACTTTGCGGGGCACTCAAGGGCACCTTTCAAATCAGAATATATTTATTTTTTATGGCTATGCACGTACCAGGAAGTAGCTTTGGTTCTCGGTGCAAACCAGTCAGAAGCAGAGAAGAATAAGGCAAAACGAAACATTTCTAAAACATTTCTAAACTTCTCTAAAGTGTAGGTTTTTCTTAAGTTAAAAAGTATTTTTACGATTATTACTATATACACACAATATACAGTACATGAAGCAGTGCAGTAAAGTGGATTACTGCACTGCAAGGTGCAAAGCAGACAAACTGTGAAAGCATGCAGTTAAAAAAGACACAGGATCTCTAACTTTGGCATGATGAATAAGCAAGTCTAAAATCTCTAACTTTAGCATGATGAATAAGCAAGTCTAAAATCTCTAACTTTAGCATGATGAATAAGCAAGTCTAAAATCTCTAACTTTAGCATGATGAATTAGAAAGTCTAAAATCTCTAACTTTAGCATCAAGAGTAAGCAAGTCTAAAATCTCTAACTTTAGCATGATGAATAAGCAAGTACAAAATCTCTTATAATATCTCTAACTAATATATTCTGATTTCCCTAAACAGTAACTGAAATAGTAACCTTTGGATGTGGTTCCGTGAGTTTCTGCCCCGGTGGTTGCCATGGCGACCGGACCTGTCAGACCTGTCAGACGGAGCAGAGGTGGTAGTTGGAGACTTTGCTTCGAGCGTTCTGTCAACAGCAGCATCAGGCGGATCTAAACTAGGATCAAGTCGTCAACAGCAGGATCTGTGTCCACTCTGCTCAGACGGACCGGGTTAGTCCAGACTCAGCTGGTACTTTGGAGACACACAGGGGAGGGGAGCAGAGAGAGAGAGAGACCAGAGAGAAACCAGAGAGATAGAGAGAGAGAGAGGAACCAGAGAGAGAGAGGGACCAGAGAGAGAGAGAGAGAGAGACCAGAGAGAGAGAGAGGGACCAGAGAGAGAGAGAGAGACCAGAGAGAGAGAGAGAGAGAGACCAGAGAGAGAGAGAGAGAGAGACCAGACAGAGAGGCCAGAGAGAGAGGCCAGAGAGAGAGACCAGAGAGAGAGGCCAGAGAGAGAGAGGGACCAGAGAGAGAGAGAGAGAGAGAGAGAGGGACCAGAGAGAGACCAGAAAGAGGCCAGAGAGAGAGAGGGACCAGAGAGAGACCAGAGAGAGAGAGAGGAACCAGAGAGAGACGAGAGAGAGGCCAGAGAGAGAGACCAGAGAGAGAGAGAGGCCAGAGAGAGAGATCAGAGAGAAATGCCAGAGAGAGAGACCAGACGGAGAGGCCAGAGAGAGAGGCCAAAGAGGGACCAGAGAGAGAGAGAGACCAAAGCGAGAGGTCATAGAGAGAGAGAGAGAGGGAGAGGCCATAAAGAGAGAGAGCGGGAGAGGCCAGAGAGAGAGACCAGAAGGAGAGAGAGAGATGGGCCAGGGACAGAGAGACCAGAGATAGAGGCCAGACCAGAGAGAGAGAAAACAGAGAGAGAGAGACCAGAGAGAGAAACCACAGAGAGAGAGGCCAGAGACAGACCAGGGAGAGAGAGAGACTTTGGTGCACACTGGGGTACACAGTTTTTCCAATGTGGTTTTACTGCAAATGTCAAATAAATTCTTGAATCTTCTTGTCTCTTGAATCTTGAATAGAGATAGACCAGAGACAGAGAGAGAGAGAAACTACACAGAGAGAGAGACTACCGAAAGAGAGACCAGAGAGAGACTACTAAGAGAGAGCAGAGAGAGACTACCGAAAGAGAGACCAGAGAGAGACTACTAAGAGAGAGCAGAGAGAGACTACCGAAAGAGAGACCAGAGAGAGACTACAGAGAGAGACTACAGAGAGAGAGCAGATAGACCGCAGCCCAGATACTGAACAGTCTGTGGTGGACTGTGGGAGATTTATTATTGTCTCAGGCATCTGCAGATAAACCATT